GCCCCCGCCGTCTGCATCTCTCTCTCTCGCGACCCCTGCCCCCGCCGTCTGCATCTCTCTCTCTCGCGACCCCTGCCCCCGCCGTCTGCATCTCTCTCTCTCGCGACCCCTGCCCCCGCCGTCTGCATCTCTCTCTCTCGCGACCCCTGCCCCCGCCGTCTGCATCTCTCTCTCTCAACACCTGTCCCCCGCCCGGCCTGTACCTCTCTCTCTAACCCCCGACTCTAGGCGCTATCGGTCACCCACCTCTGCTTCTGGATGTCGAGTCCAAGGAGAGTGGCCGTTTGTGTGGGCACTAGGCCACCCTTGGGCAAAGGTGTTCCCGGGCCTGAAGCCCCTTGCTGGACACAGGGGGCAGCAGCTACTTCGCAGTGAGTATCAGTTCCCGGTCCGGCGGCCGGCTCCCTTGGCAACGCGATGGCGGGCCCCACGTAGACGGTGCCGACCGGAGGCCCAAGCCGGGGAGTCTGGGTGATGACCGCGGCGCTCGGTACCCCTGAGATACAGCTGATACAGCCGAGACCGAGCGGCCCGCTCCTGGTACTGGCCGTGACCGCAGCTGCCACCGACATCGCTGGGGGCCTCTCCTGGTCCGGCTCCACCTCCGGCCGGTACCCATTGCTAACCTCCACCGGCCGGCGGCCGTCCAACGAGATGTTACTGAGGAAGCTGAGGGCGGCCTGCCTCCGCCGGGAGTCGGTACGTTTCCTCTGGGCCTGAGCCAGTTGTTGTTCCTTGGTGCTGGTGACACTATGTTTCACATTCGAGAAGCGAAACGAACCGCCCCACGTCGCGGCCGCCATTATCCAGAATACAGAGTGGAGCGCCTGGGGGCGGGGTCTGAGTGAGGGGGCGTGGCCTGTGGGTGAGCAACGTGAGAGGGTTGGGGTCTGAGTGAGGGGGCGTGGCCTGTGGGTGTGCAACGTGAGAGGGTTGGGGCCTGCGTATGAGGGGTTGTACCCGTGGTCGAGGGGGTGGGGCCTGTATGTTAGTGGGCGGGGCCTATGTGCGTGCGTGCGCGGCACGTGAACTGGGGCGGGGCATGTATGCGATGGGTGGGGTTTATGTGCAAGGGGCGGGACAAGTGCGCGAGTGAGTGGGGATTCTGCGCGAGGGTTTGGGATTCTTGAGAACATCCGTAATTCGGGTTGTGGATGAAGTTGCAGACTTGCTCGCCGAGCCAGTGGGTTTGATTGCAGACCCTCCGGTAAAGCCAGAGAGCCTGGCACAATGGGTGGGCTCTGTGTCGCCGGCGTGTGACTAAAGTGCCAGGGGGAGTGGGTAACGTGGCCTGGAGGCGGGGCTTGTGGGATGGGGGCACTGGATGTGGTTTTGGGTGAAGGTGGGGAAGGCCATGGCGGCGACGCTTGTGTGCCGCGCTTGGTTAGGGGGTGCGACCTATGGTCTGGGATTGGGGCCTGTGTCATCGGGCGAATGTGGAGTGGTGGGGTGTGGCGTTTGTTACCGGGATGAGGTTTGTGGATTGGGGCGGGGCTTGAATGGTGGGGCGGGGCTTGTGGACTGGGGTCTTGGTGGGTCCATGGCTTGGGGAGAGATTTGTGGTCCAGTGGTGGCGCTTACCTACTGGGGTGATTGGCCTTGGGGATTGGAGAATGGACTTCGTTTCTGATGGCAGGTCCTAGGCAATTGGGGTGGGGCCTGATCATAGGGAAGTAAACTAAAGGGGATGCTAGAAATCTGAAATAAAAAGTCATTAAGCATGGAAAGAGGCCCTTCAGCCCAACTTGTCCAAGCCGACCAGGGTTCCTGAACTGAACTCGTTTGCCTGCGTTTGGCCCATCTCCCTCTAAACCATGAGGGGATAGTAGGAACTGCTGATGCTGGAGTCTGAGATAACAAAGTGTGGAGCTGGAGGAACACAGCAGGCCAGGCAGCATCAGAGGAGCAGGAAAGCTGACATTTCAGGTCTGGACCCTCCTTCCTCACTGACCAACCCCCATCCAAACTTCCTACCTACACTCATCTTTACTAGCTTCATCCCTGCCTCCTTGACCTGTCCGTCTTCTCTCCCATCTATCTGTTCCACTATCCACCTTCTGTCACCACCCCCCCTCTATTTATTTCAGACACCCCTCCCCCATTTCTGAAGAAGGGTCCAGATCTGAAACGTCAGCTTTCCTGCACCTCTGATGCTGCCTGGCCTGCTGTGTTCCTCCAGCTCCACACCTTGTTATCCCTCTAAACCATTTCTGTCCATGTACCTTTTAAATCTTTCCCCTCTCACTTTAAACCTATGCCCTCTAGTTTTGCTGCAGAAACTCTGGCAGCATCTGTTGACAGAGAAACAGAGTTAACATTTTAACTCCTGGGCTTGCTTGACTAGGGCAGGACCTAGTGTCTGGCATTTGGGCTTGGCTATTGTGGTACATAGAATCCTTACAATGTGGAAACAGGCCATTCGGTCAATAGTGAACCTCTAAAAAGCATCTCACCCAGACCTATCCCTGTAACCCTGCATTTCATGGCTAACCCACCTATGGGGCAATTTAGCATGGCCAGTCCACCTAACCTGCGCGTCTCTGGACTGTAGCAGGAAACCGGAGCACCCAGAGGAAAGCCACGCAGACACGGGCAGAATGTGCAGACTCCACACAGATGGTCGCCCAAAGGCGGAATGGGACACAGGTCCCTGGCACTGTGAGGTGGCAGTGCTAACCACTGAGCTACCATGCTGCCATGGTGTTTGCAGGAATCATGTTGCCATGCCAGTCACCATGGGGTGTGGCTCAGTTGTTAGGGCAAGTTCTGAACTACAGGTGTTATCTGGGGGGACATTGTGCCACCAGGGACTGAAGATTTGCTGTCAACTGAGGGCTCATATGCCCTTGTCTTGAGAAGGTTGAGCTGCGGGGGGCGGTGTGATTTGGAGTTAGACCTTATTGGCAGTGAGGAGTGTTGAATGGTTGGGCCCGGGTGTTGAGCTGTGATAGATAGGGCAGGTGTGGTGAGTGGTTGGGGGCTGGGGTTGAGCTGCTGTGGATGGGGGAGGTGTGGTGAATAGTTGGATACAGATATTGGGCTGTGATGGATGGTGGAGGTGTGGTGAATGGTTGGGTACAGGACTTGGGCTGTGATGGATGAGGAAGATGTGGTGAGTTGTTGGGGGTGAGCTGTGATGGATGGGGGAGGTGTGGTGAATGGTTGGGGCCTGGTGTTGAGCACTGATGGATGGGGGACGTGTGGCAAGTGGTTGGGGCTTGGGGATGAACTGTGGATGGATGGGGGCGATGAGGTGAGTGGTTGGGGCCTGAGGTTGGCTGTAACAATTGTCACTGGCCACTATCAGGCCCTGCTCATGTCAGCTGGACATTTGGTGGATAGTTCTCTGGGACGGCTATGTTTCTCACAACTTCACTGCCCTATCCACCAATGTTGTCACAGTGGCGGGAATGCAATGGCAAGTTGCTGTTTCCCGGATATACTGATAATGAATACAGACTCCTTCCACTATTGTTACAATTGCAAAATTTACATCATTAGGTTTTTGTGCCAGTTCTGTACTTGCAGTAAATAGATGTGAATCTAGTACTTTTACACTGATGCACAACAAGAAATTGCATTAATATGGCCCCTTTAACAAATGAAATGTTCTGCTTCGCCAAACCATTATCAAACGACATTTGCCAGTGAGCTACATAGGGAGATGTTGTGTGTCCAAATTCTTAGGCAAAATGTTAGGCTTAAGGAGTCTGTTAAACCAAGGGAGAGGTGGAGAGATTTAGAAAGGGGATCGCACATCTTAGGGCCTAGGCCAAGACTCCCAAAATGGTAGGCAGGCGGGCAAGTAAGGTTGTGTGCTCTGAGGCAACAATGGCTGCCATGGAGCTCCAGTCATGTCATAACAGATCTGCGCTCTCTCTGTCTGTGTGTCTCTCTCTCTCTAATATATATGACTCTGTGCTCCCAGGTTTCACTGAGGGGAGGTCACAACAATTTTCAAGCCTCAAAATGGGGTCACAATGGGGAAATGTTTGGGAAGCATTGGCCTAGGCAGCTTAAGAGAATGATGAGAATCACTAATGCCAAAGAGAAGCAGATTGTGGGAGTGTAGAAATTTTGGTTGGTGATATGCACGGAGGAGATTACAGAGATAGGGAGAGGAGCTTCACTAGCTCATGGCTAAAAACAAAATAGACAAATATAATGGCAGATGAAGTTTAATTTAGATAAATGTGAGGTGTTGCATTTCGGTAAGACAACCCAGGGAAGAACTTACACAGTTAATGTTAAAGCCTTGGGTAATGTTGTCGAACAGAGAAACCTGGGGGTGCAGGTACATAGTTCCTTGAAAATGGCGTCACAGTGTGGTGAAGAAGCTGTTTGGCATGCTTGCCTTCATTGGTCAGAATGTTGAATACAGGAGTTGGGACGTCGTATTATGGCTATACAAGACATCGGTAAGCCTCATTTGGAGTACCGCATACAATTCTGGTCACCCTGCAATAGGAAGGATTTTATTAAACTGGAAAGAATGCAAAAATGATTGACAAGGTTGTTACGGAGACTGAATGGTTTGAGTTATAGGGAGAGAATGGATACACTGGTGCTCTCTTCCCTGTAGTGTTGTAGGCTTGTAGATCTTATAGAAGTTCATAAAATCGTGACAGGCATAGATAAGGTGAATAGCCAAGGTCTTTTCCCCCGGATAGGGAGTCCAAAACTAGACGGCATAGGTTTAAGGTGAGAACTGGAAGATTTAAAAGGTACCCGAGGGGCAACTTTTTCGCACAAAGGATGGTGTGTTTATGGAATGAGCTGCCAGAGGAAGTGGTTAAGATGGGTACAATTACAACTTTTGGACTTTTGGACTTTTGGACAGGTACATGAATAGGAAAAGTTTAAAGGGATATGAGCCAAATGAAGACAAATGGGACTGGTTCAGTTTCGGAAAACTGGCCAGCATGGACGAGTTAGGCCGAAAGATCAGTTTCCATACTATATGATTCTATGACTCAATCTTGAAATACAGGTAGAAAGTCTCCTACCAACATCAGAAATTACTTTTTAACCTTTAAAATATTCGAGCAAAGGTTAACATTATGATCCATATTACTAATTCCAAACTGTTGTTTTCCATAAGTGACTCTTCATGTACTCCCAGTTATTTGCTCATCATCGTATATGCTTGTCCTAATACATTTTTATTCTTGTTATTAACAAGATGCTTACACAAAAACCTTTCATGGGATTTAATCAAATGTCATAAACTGATTTTGATACTCACTACTTCATGGGAAAAATGCTGTTTATTTTTATTGCAATTGAGCTGTGAGCTTTTCACGTTTGTTTCTTTTTTGCTAAGACTTTTCCTGGTGATGCATTGGTTAACATCTTCATCTTTTTTGTATGCTGTATTAATGCAGCCATTTACTTCCTTACATAAATATTTACATATTAACCCACAGGAAAAAAAATGAAACCTTGAAGGAATTTAAATTGGGTTACAATGCCAACCTGACATACTTGAAGACATTTTACATGTGGGCTTTTGAAACCATGACAGTGTCCACTTTGGTTAACTGTAATCAATATCACATCTTTTAACACGTTAATATGAGGTCTTTTTATTCTTATTTTCTTGGGACATGAGCTTTGCTGACAGGGTCAGCATTTGTTGTTAATCCCGAATTGTCCTTGAACTGAATGGTTTACTATGCCTTTACAGAGGGCAGTTAAGAGTCATCCCACCATGTGGATCTGGAATCATATTTACAGCAGACCAGATAAGGATGGCAGATTCCCTTCCCTAAAAGACATTAGTAAACCAGGATTTTGTTTTAGAATATTCAATGAGAGTACTGGT